TTCCCCCCCCCCCCCATTTTTATTTTATTATTTTAATTTTTTTCCCATTGCTTCTACTTCATAACTTCTCTCTCTCTTTCCCCTAGCTCTTCACCATCTGCTTCCAACTCATCTGATGAAGAATCTTTGTCAGAGGAAGAACTAGAAAGGCTCAAGGAGCAGGTAGAGGAAAAGAAAAAGCTGATATCCACCATGAGGAACAAACCTTGGCGTATGGCAAAGAAGTTAACAGTGCTCAGGTAGCCTAACACATTCCTAACTCTTCAGTTTCTATGGTAGGAAGCACTGAAACTAGAGTGTGAATTTAATAGTCATGGACTGTACACTGCAATTCAGATTAATTACATCTTGATGCTCCTGTTGCCATCTCAAAACCCCAGTCTTGGAAAAAGCAACCAGTGGAATGAGGCCAGTGTGCTGTGGTCTACATGATAGGGGTTCAGAGGTAGGATTTTGTTGTCAGTGTCTGTAACCAGAGAACATATGCTGGACAAAATCTGTTTGCCTGATTCCCAGGATGGGATCATTTTACCGTTTTATTTAAAGCCTGCTGTACAACTGACTCCAGGACTCCTTGTTAAAGCAAACTGAGCCCTTCTCTGCTTATTTATGCCTAGTGATATACAGAAATCAAGCAGCTAGTCTCTGGGTTACTTTGCACTGCCAGAAGCTTTACGGCTTGTAGAGTATTCAGGAAAAGACAGTATTACTTACAGATATGTAGGCAATACTGTTGTGTGCTCTATCTTGCTAAAGGTGCAGTACTGTATGTGGAAGTAATACAGATGTTTATAGTGGAGGACATAGCTGGCTGTTCGGGGGAAACAGAAGAAGGAACACTGAGGGAAGGAACCAAAAATCCACATTTCAGTAAAAGAATGGCTCTTCTCTCCAGTAATTATCTTATCCAATAGTGGGCTGAGAAAGAATAATTCAAAACCCAGTGTTGAGGATGATAGTGAGGGATTTGAAAGCTAGTATCAAGGAGAGGAAATTTCAATCCTAAAATAAGCTTGAATCTACCTATGGGAGTAGGTTCAGTCCACTGCATTTGCCTAGAGGTGATTTATTTGTTTAGCCACAATGGGCAATGGCTTGTCTGAGTCGTCTTTTTACTGTGAGTAGCTCAGCTGACCTGCAGGCACCTCCCAATGTGCAGTTCAAGTCCCATCACTCGCATATAAAAGGTGGCATTTCCCTTTGCCGCCATTAATCTGTGTGGGGAAAAGGAGGTAGGAGGCAGAATAAAGTTCATGTACCATAAAAATGGAATTCAGTGTCATCTGTCTAGTGCTTGGAGACTCAGAATGAAACATGCTACTAAAAGGGGCAAAAGATTATTATTACTAGAATGTCTTCCTGCTGATGCAGTCTTAGCAGCTGATGCCATGATCAACTACATTTCCCTCTCCTTTATTCTTTTCTCTTGACAGTGGAGGGGAGCAAACTTAATCAACTCAAACAACACTGCCACAACACCTTGGCTGCATTAGGAGCATGGGATAGAGTTCATAACACTAATACTTTTTATTTCTTTCCAAGGATCTCAGTCTACTTTATAAGTATGAAGCAATTTAGCTTTATAAACATATCTGTAGGATGGATATGTGTTAGCCCTATTTCACAGATGATGAAAATGGACCACAAAGATTAAAGCCATTAGTTTCAAACATCAGTGCCTATGCACTGATTTGGGGACCTATCTGTAAGTATCCTATTTTGAAACTGTGCTCCAAGGCATCTTGTCCAAGGTAACATTATAAGTGAGTGTATTAACCATAATATGATTTTTAGGCTTCCTCTACACATGCAGGTAAAGGCACACTAGGCATGGTACACCCCTGTGGTTGGGAGGTCTGTCAGTTGAAGGTGCTCTCAGCCACAAGGGAAATCCTACTACACATGCAAATTAAAGCTCAATAGCAACCAGCTATAAAAGACAATACAAATTTTCAAGATTTAACTATAGCTGGTTAGAAGTTTTTATCATGTGATAGCTACTTCACATGTGTAGCTGGTCTTAAGACAATTACACAATTATCCAATTAATTGTGTGATACCTGTGATGTGTAAAGAGAATACCTATGATGTGTAAGGGCATGGGAATGGAAGGCTTCCTCTCACAGGCAACAGTCATACATTCTTGTTCTTAAAGTTATCAAGATCAATCCTAAAACTACTTTGTTTGCTCCAAATACTCCTACTCAAAGCCTGTTCTAAAAAGCTTCTTTTAATTTCCAGTTTAAATTTATTCTTGGCCAATTTATTCCTAAGTGTTCTTTTCTTTAGCCAAAATAACTCTTCTCCTATCCTAGTATTTACCTAACTGATGTGTTTATACAAAGAAATTATATTCTTTCTCAGCCTTTGTTTTGCTAGCAAGTTTCCCTTTCTTCTTGATGCATGTGTTATTAATAAGCTGTAAAACAGGGAAGATCATGGTTTCTACTACTGATTCACAACGATGACCCTGAATATTAATACTATCAGAAATGCAGGTGACTTCTGAGCTTTTATGTAGGTCTAAAATCAGGGAGGAAGTATTTGGTGAGATGTTCTTCCCCTTTGCAAACAGCATAAATTCACAGAAGTTGAAAGCTATTGTAAAATATTCTCTTTTTAAATTAGGGAGGCACAAGCTTTTGTAGAGAAGTTTGAAGGAGCCTTGGGAAAAGGAAAGGGCAAAAAATTCTACGCATATAAGGTGATGATGGCAAAGGTAAGAGCTGCAGTAATGGGCAAAGAGAAGCCTGAATGCTCAGTCATTAATGCAGCGTATTTGTGCTCTAAGCAGTAGGCCTGTGCGAATCGGGAAGTATTCAATTTGGATTCAGATTCAGCCAATTTGGAGGACAGTGATTTGGTTTGGAGATTCGGATCGCTGTCCCAAATCAATTAGGCTGAACCGGCTTCGGAAGATTCAATGCTGTTTTGGAGAGATTTGGCCATAGACTATAATGGGGAATCACTGAAATACCTATAACTTTTTCATTTTTTTGGCAGATTTGGATGAAAACAGCAGGGATGGTAGTCCCTTCTGAGGCCATGAGGCCTGCCAAGTTTCAAGGAAATAGGTGCAGTGGTTTATGGGAAACTGCGCCTCAAGGTGCTGACAAGCAAAACTCGTGACGTGTGTGACTGTATGTGTGTGTTCAGGCACAGCAGCATGAAAACTGCGGGGATGGTAGCCCTTGTTCTCACTCTCACAACTCCATTGCAACCAGTAGGCCTCAGGCATCTCAAAGATCTTACTGCTCTGGGCTTTCCCCAGCCAGGACTGTGCGGTGGCTGGAGGTTATCAGGTGCCTCCTGCTTCTATCCATCTTTCACCAGGGAGGTTTACAGTCCTGGAATTTCATGGAGCTGCCACGCCACCAGCAGTCCCACCCAGGACTCCCCACCCTGGCAGTGTGCAGTTTTAGGTCAAGACCAGGATGATGTGGGGCCTCCATCCCATATAGCCCCAGCCTTTATACCTCCAAGTTCTTCCTGGCATGGGAGCCCAGCAGGGAGATGTTCTTTCCCTGCTGGCTGGTGAGAAACTAAACTGCTGCCTCCAGCTCTGAGAGCGGGGCATCAAATGTCCTGCCACATACATCACCCATTGTGCAGGCATGAGAGAGGCCTGCCAGGTTTCAGGAAGAGTGGTGCAGGGATTTCTGTGAAACTGCACCTCAAACAGCTAAAAGCAAAACTTGTGTCACTTGTGTATGTTAAGGGGTGTAGGTTGTAGCCATGTTGATCTAAGGACATACCCCAGGCAAGGTTCTGGGGGTCAATCTGATATCTTTTATTAGACCAACTGAATAGTGGGAGAAATTCTTCTTTGCAAGCTTTTGGGTTTAAAAACCCTTCATCAGGCTGAAAAAGCATCTAGTTGGTGTGTATGTGCTCTTCCTGGATGAAAGGAATAGTAAAGAAACCAGAGGCTGGCATGCAATGCAGGCAAGAAAGCCAGTCGTTGAAAATAGAAATGCAGGTATCGGGGTGAGAGACAGACTGGGGTAGGGGGGAATGGGGATGTAGCAGGTAAAAGTGGAGAGGTACCTGGGGAGTCAGATGTCCGGCAGGTTGTAGTGTGTCAGAATTCCAATGTCTATATTGAGTCTGAGAGTTTCTATACCTAGGAGGTTGATGAAGTGCAATTCATAGGCCTGTCTGAAAAGTGGTTTGTAAATTCTAGATGCTAAATACTTCCTCAGCCTGATGAAAGGTTTTAAACCTGAAAGCCCACATCTTGCAGATGGCATCTCAGGTGGCTAAGGTGAGCTCACTTGGCTCCACTGCAACCAGCAATCCTCAGGCCTCTCAAAGTTCTTAGGGGTCTGGGCTTTCTCCAGCCAGCATCTCCCCAGTGCTCTGGGTGATCTTGCCTGCCCTTGCAATGTGCCCCACTTCGTCTGCAGCTTTCCCCCACTACTCCAGGGTGGCCTGTCTCTGCTTTATAGGGACGGGGGCTTTGGAGTGAGAGGGGGACTTCTCTTTGAGCATGCTCATGCTGGTGCCAGGCTGAGGAGGAACAAGGGCAATGGGGTGCTGCCTCCTGAGATACAGCAGCATCTCTGTGATGGTCAAGTGTCTTACCTCCTGACCCCAGCTGATCTACCTTTGGCAGTGCTGACAGATAGCATACTTAGGATCATCTGCCACTTCAAAATGATCCCACAGTACACTACCTCCCAGCTTCTGGATTGAGTGTGGGGATCTTTCCTTATCCCCCTCCTCAGCAGGCTGAGGCACAACAACAGGAGGAGCTGACTCAACTGAGCCGCTTGCTTCCACAACCCCAATCTCCTCTGACGTGCTTTCCGGAGATAGAGACCTGGGTCTAGTGGAACTTTGAGAGGTGTGGAGCACACAATCAAATTCTGCCTCATTCCCCAGAATTTCTTTTGCTAGGGTGCTCAGGTCCCCTGCTTCCAGATCCAGCTCCTTCTCTGGCACTGGGAGGCTCATGCTGGGAGATGAAATTGGGGTGGAGGAGATGGTCATGCTGGTGGTGGTGGCTATTTCTGATGTTAGGGGAGGTGGTGCGGGTGCAAGGACAGGTACTGCTCCCACAGGCAGCAGAAGACTTATGGCTGCCAGGAAAGCGGATGTGTCTATTTGGGGCGGGGGGAACTTGAAGCTCTAGCTCTCCCACTACCCCCTCTATTCCCTCCTCCTCCCCTGCCAGAAGACCTTGCACCTGCCTTTTCAGCATGCTTCATATTAATCTTTCCTGTGCTGGAGAATGTGTTGCGTGTGCAGCTGTAATATCTCTTCTCTCTGTGTGTAACTAACAATATTTCTTCTTCTCAGATTACTGTACGTGTCCAATATCTCTTCTTCTCTGTTTACTGTATGTGTGTGTAATTAATAATATTAATATCTCTTCTTCTGTGTGTGTGTGTGTGTGTGTGTGTAATGTCTGTGTTTTCCTGCACAGTGATGGATCACGCTGCCAGGGAAAACACCGCTTTCTTTTAAAGTGTGTGTGTGTGGGGGGGGAAATAACAAGATCAAATGAGAGGTTTTGGGGGAAGAAAAAGTTGAAAGAAATGGATTGGATAGGAGTAAGTAGAGGGATTCTAGGCAAGGGTAATTAGTAAGCTGTACCCAGTCCAAGAAGACAGACTAGCAGGAGACCTATTAGGAAGCCCAGCCAGTCCAGTAGTAACTTTCAGACACTGTCCCCCAGGCAGAAACAGCTCACAAAAGAAACACAAAGGCTGCAGACAGAGGCTTATATGCTGTTTCTATGTCCCTCCCCAGAGCACTGTGATTGGAAGGGGACTCAGGGCAAGATCACAGTCACTGGCCAGCTACAGACCCCCCCTGTTCCCCCTCCCTCTTCTCAGTTTCTGTTCCCCTGAAAGACTGCCTTCCGAATCTCAGAATCTCCAAATCTTTTTCCAAATCAATTTGGAGGGGTTTTTTTGTCTCTTGATTCAATTCAGATTCGGTGATTTGGCCTCTGAATTGGGCCAAATCTTCTCCAAATCGAATCAGTGATGGAAGCTTCGCACACCCCTACTAAGCAGTTAACAAGTATTTGGTAAAAGAGACAATTAAAGAAATTAAGTCAGTGCTTCTGCACCCAGTGAACCCATTAAAGACTATGTATGGTTCACCCCCTTCTCACCACCCTCCTCACCTCCCAAAAAGTAGCTCTGACTGGCAATTCCATGCTTACTGTTTCTGATTTGCCCTGGGAATCTAGCCCCGTTTCTGCATTGCTGATTCTTTGTAACTTCACCAAGAACTAAAGAACTCCCTAGACAAAGAAGCCCCACAGTCATCTTCAAGAGCATCTTAGCTGGTCTCTAATTTGCAATGCTGTTTTTGGTTTCAGAAATGGGTGAAATTTAAAAGAGACTTTGACAATTTTAAAACTCAGTGTATACCCTGGGAAATGAAGATAAAAGAGGTGGAAAGTAAGTGAAATTTGCTCTTAAGCTGTGAGGCATTATAAAAAACATTTTGTTGCTCTGTTCTGTATTTATTAAAGTAACTTCTTGTAAATGAGAATGTTACATCACCACAGTTCTAATCATTACCTTTCTTGTTTAAGGTCACTTTGGCTCTTCAGTAGCATCTTACTTCATATTTCTGCGATGGATGTATGGGGTAAATCTGGTCCTTTTTGGTTTAATATTTGGACTAGTTATAATTCCAGAGGTAAGAATTAAAGACTCATAGTAGAGGTGATATCTTTTATTAGACCAACTAGATTTTTGGGAAAAAAATGCAAGATTTTGGGCACAAACACCCTTCATCAGGCATTGGAGAAAAGATTGTAGAAGTTCTCTTGGGTAGAAATGAAAGTTCATATTTTATAGGATTTTACAGAGGAGTCAATAGATGGAATACTTCTCTGGGCAGGCATTTCTTACCTGGTAAGGTGTCTCTGAGCTCTGTTGTGAGGCTCTGTGATGATGCAAATTACCTTGAACAAAGGCAGAAGCAGTATCTCAGGTTTCAGGTGGTCAAAGATGCTTCTTCCTTGTGAAATTATGAAGATTTCATTAAAAAAAATGGCTAAAATTTGATATCTTCCATGTGTCACGTATCCAGGTTGTAGCCGTATAGTCTAGAGGAAAAAAACAGGTAAGAATTCACACCCAATTTGTGTACTCAGGTCATAGCACATAGCACTGAGGGCACAGTTAATGTCACAATGAGATTGACAGCGCACATTGGTGTTTTACATTATTGGGGTTTCAAGTAATAGAGTATATTTTATAAAAATCATTAAATATGGATTCAATTAAAAAGTATAAATAAAATAATAAAGCCTTGGGCCATGACCCCAAATGGAAAAGGTTTGACTTATAACATTGCATATAGAATACCATCTGATCTAACATGTTCTCATTTCCAGGGACCTTATTTAGGGCAGGGGTGGGCAATTATTTTGGGCGGAGGGCTACTTTACAAAATTTGGTGAGCAGTCGAGGTCCGCATGAGTAGCCCTGCCCCTTGACAGTTGCCCTGCCCCTGTTCTTCATCCTGGGACCAGAAGTCCCATCCCTAACCCATGACCTTTGCCATTGGAAGCCCCTACCCTTGCCCCCCAGATATACTTCTTTGCATGGAAGGTTGCCATCTTAGAGCCAGAAAAAAACAAATCATACACTAAAAGTCAAACACCTATTATAACATATTTTAATTTTATTACAAAAATTTTTTTTGTCATGATTTGTGTTTGTGTACTGTAGATAGAGGTGATTGCATAATAACTCAAAATAAATTCTTAGTCTTTTATTGTGTGTATGGTGG